GCCTTTGATAATGTCCACCGCAGTTGTGGACGAAACGTCAGGAAGAAATTCCCATAGACCACGGCTTCAAAGCCCGGAAAACATTCCTAAATGTGGTTTGGGTTGTTCCTTTAGATGTGGCTTCCAATTTCTCAAATTTATTAGTTTGCCTCTTCGTGGCTCTGTCCAGTTTTCCTTGCATGCTGTTGTGGGAGATGGCGTTGATCTTGTTCCAGTCAGAGTGATACAGACGGAGAAAGAAAATGTATTTTATAAACAAAAAATTGAAATTGTATTAAATAAATAAATCATTATAAAACTAACGCATTAATAAAATTTTTCATTAAAAAACTCTCATAAATGCAAAGTTTTTTAAAACAATTGTTTTACAATCCAAAGCAAATTTCTATTAACGTAAGCTTCAAACTCAGCAGCACAGTCATGCACTTAAAATTATCCATAACTTTACGCATATTCTATATTCATTCGAAATTGCCGGCTTTTTTTCGCATTTGATCTTCTGCTTCTGTCATAGGTTTTGTTATTTCCTTATATTATGTTTTATTTCATCACTGAAACAGTTGTGAAATGTTCACACATTTTTATTTATTAAACTGTAAACGGTATGATAAACTGTAAACGGGTTGGTTTTCAAATCAAACAAAGAAATTCGCAAAAAATATTTATTAATAACAATTTAACTGTAGGCAGGTCACATCAGCTTATTCGTTAAACAAAAGTCCGTAGGTACCAAAGGACAAGGCAATGTCAGCTTGAGCCCAGAACCTGTGGTATCTGAAGGTGGGCACTGCACCTCCGTTAAGGTAAGATTCCACCTTGGACCAGTTGGGGTCGTTCTTATACCAAGAACGGATTCCAAGGAAAGTGGCTGAAGAGTCGATGACATCTCCGTTGGGGTAGGTTCCAGTCCATCCAGATGGCACGTAGACTTTCTCGTTGAAACGGCTGTAGTCGTCACGCTCTTCTTCTACTGAGAAACCAATATCGTCCTTGTAGGTAGTGTAGATGGCATCCAGAAGTTTCTTGGCGGTGGCTTTGGCGTTGGAGTCTCCGGACTTGGCAGCGTAGTAGGCCAAGGTACGGGCGGTAGCTGAAGCCGCTCCTAATGAAACAACATTGATTAGCAAGTCGAAACGTTGACTCACAAATAGCGCACATACCCAAGTCTCTTGAGTAAGTGTCGATGGTGACTTGCACGTTTGGTGGATCTCCGGTCCAGCCAAGATTTCCGGGAATCTCAAAGTCGTCTCCGTTAAATTGGATCACTCCGTCAACCCAATCAACCCATTTCTTTAGAATTGATTGAGCTTTAGAGTCACCGGAAGCGTAATAGTATTGAGCCAGACGATCAGCAGACCAAGGTTGCATACCGTACCATCTGTTGGATGGAGGATCATGGTAGACCTAAACGAACCACGATTATTTTCATCATTCAAAAAAGTATCCAGAACACTTACAGGTTCCCAGTCGTAGAACATTCCGTGGAAGGTGTCGTTAAGTAAGTCGGAGTCAGGAGTGTCATAATGTCCCTTCCATGAGTTGGTAACTCCACCAGAGAATGGGCCTGCTGCAGTTTGCAAGTATTCGTACAATTCAATTTGTCTTTCGAGAGATTTCGTCCAGTCGTCAACAGCAGTGGCGCCCTTTGGTTTCAAAGAGGCATCATTAGCCAAAGCGTAGGCAGCAAGAGGGTTCTGGTAACCAAAGTGAGAAGCTCCATCTCCAATACGCCAAGACCAGCCGTATTGAGCATTGTAGGAACCTCCCCAAGCGAAGTACCAGTTGATAAGGTAGTGAGCACTTTCCTTTCCAGAGCCTCCTGCACATCCACTTGCTGGGTAGCAGTCTCCAATTTTCTTGAAGTACTTGTCGAACAGAGAGTACCTGAACACAAGTACATGAAGCATGGAGACCAATAGAGCTGGAGCTAAGACTCACCTGAGATAGTCTCCAAGTTTGGATGCTTTGGTGAGAGTTGACGAGATGCTTCCTTGGGATCCCTTTTCAGAAGCCCAAACGTTAGCCCAGTAGGCAGCTTGAACGGCTCTGGCGTCAGCATCAGGAGCAGCAGTGTATTTGTACTGGTGAGCGTACTCGTTGTCCTTAGTGAAAAGGTCCAAGAACCCATTGGTGCCTCCGTATCTAAAGACCAACCAATTAGTTGGCTGCAAATGTTCCCTTGGAAATATTCTCGACATACGTGAATTGGTCGCAGGACGGTTGGGGAATGGTTCTCCAGACAGATTCCTGAGGTCCTCTTTGGTAGTTGTTGTAAAGGGAAGGTCCAGAAGCAGAAGGTCCAGCCTCACATTGTCCTTGGACATTACCGAATCCGTAAACGTTGTCAACATCAAGAAGCCAGTGCATGGAGTAGAAGTCTGAGTTGCCGTATGCGTTTTTAAGTTCGTCATACAGAGGATCTTGACCTGAGCGACATCAATTCATTAGCAATCAGCTAGAAAGCAATTAGCAATCAATGGACATACCAACAGGCACACTGGAGTCGATTTGAGATGGATATTGGCTGGGGTCGTCCAACTCAGCTTGGTAAGTGGCTGGTTTGGAAGGGTCGTATTCGCTGTTGGAGCTTTGGAGAGATGGGATGGTGTACTTCTCCAAGATGTCCCAGGCATTGTTGAAGCCAGAGAAGTCTCCTTCGATGGCGCCGTACAAAGCCTCAAGCCAGACATAGTAGCTGTAATGACATGGTTTCACTAAGTTATTGAAAATCAGGACAAAATCCGTCCGCAACTGACCTCACAGCTTCGGAAGTGGTTTCGTGTCCCTGATCCGGAGCCTCAACAATCAAAGTTTCAACGCTGTGGTATGGAACTCCCTCCTTGGAAAAGTATCCATTGCCGGCGCTCTTAATTTTATTGTACTGTTCCAAGAAGCGGTCGGTGTAGGTACCGGCATTGATGCCGGCCACCAAAGCTATCGCGAAGATAGCAAGGACTTTCATTGCAAATCCTAAACAAAATAAAAACACTTAGAGGAAAAATAAGCAGATAAATTTAAAAAACCTGTCTATCCAAAATGCGATAAAATGCAGCAAAACAATTTTAGCAGTCAAATTTTAATCTGTTTTGTTCTTTGTAGACGTTACATAAATCTGAGCATGTTCATAAAAAACTGTACTTACAAATCAATGCAAGCAATAAAGTATGTAACCCTACGGTTTAAATTCGATTTTTTTGATGAGAAAGAGACAAGAAAATTAAATGGTTATTAAAATATTTGAAAAATCTCATTTTGAAACTTACCCTAGATCTATGCTCTACTCGCAAGGGCAAGAGACCAACTGATACCCGTAGTAGGACCCGGAAGAGTTTTTATACACAAAATTACAATGCTATCTAAAAATCTTAAGGGTAAAGCAAACAGGAAAGTAATTCAAGTGGATAATCGCTACACATAGTTAGAATTACGCATTTACAACAATAAGTAGCTATAAGGTGAATCAAATCATTGAATCCAATAAAGCATCTATAAAATGGTATAGACTCATTTGCATTAATATAGAATGTTAGTTTTTTCAGTGACTAAAGAAGACATGCCTATTGGAAGCGCGAAAAGCTCCAAGAAACCCATTGGAATTAGTAAGTTTAGAGAAAGTCGTCATGCTTGATATTTGGGACACTCTATCCTTCAAGTGAGCCGGTGACTAGTGATTTTTTATGGTAATCACTAGATCTCAATTAATTAGTAAACTATCCAAAATTGAGTGGAAAAAGTGCCAAAGCAGTAATGTGGAAATTATTGCAGTGAAATTTAAAGGAATTCCTTTTGGTATGTACTTAGGCACTAAACTTAAGTTTAAAATTGGTATTTTACTAACAATGTTGCTTTTGTAGGTTTCAAAATAAACTATTTTATTTAATTTCCATTTTTTATCTTCTCTTTCTTTGTCCCACATTTGGAACGAAAACGAATTATACGAATAAGGGGACCAACGCAGCTTGCGAATGAATCAGTAGAGCATAAAAAATGCAACTAAATTAATTTTAAATGGCATGACAAAGCAAACGCTGTACTTCACAGAAAAAAACGGAAAAAATGTATCTTCTATGGAGACCACAAGATTATAATAATAGTAACAAAAAAAATATTTTTTTTTAAATGCAATTCAATATCTTATGGAATTCGAATAAAAAAAACTTTAAAGGTGCCATATTTCGCAAATTTTGAGTAACCATTGATTAGATGTTCTGGGGTCGGGAGTTTGTATTGCGAAAGTGAATCATTCGTTTGATACGCGAAATGAGCTATGAAAAGTTTTGTTAAACTATTTTCAAAGAATTGGAAATTTGTACAGTACAAGCTGTCTACTATATGTATATATGAGTGCATAATTACAATCTGAATACCCTAAATTTGCCATACTCTGAACATGGACCAACGGTCATAGAAAGTTTGTCCAATATGTCTACTTTAGTTCGCGCCATGTTGCAATAATGGTTTATTATTGATTTAAAGAATAAAGTTATTCTTCATAAAAAAAAGTTTTGTTTGCATCAAAACCTAAAGTGTGATAATCCGATTTTTTTCGTATACGAGGCACATCAGAAAAATGAATTTTACTCAAGAGTAAAGTCCTTTTATGAGTTGAAAATTATGATCAGAGATCTAATTGCGCCTACCTATGATAAACATCAAGTTTTGTTATTTTTAAGCTTCCATATATGGAGAACTTTGTTATTATTAATTTTACGAAAAAAGAGTTACTCTTCTGTACTGCTAATTCCAAAATCTAAAATACATTCATCAGATATCACTTTTCCCAGTTGTATCTAAGGTTTGTCAGAAAATTTTGGTTTTTTCCATATAATTTTTTTTTTGCCATGAAGTTTGTGCTGCGTTTTGATAAAACCTATTTCTTTATTGTGCGAAATTTCAATTTGTTGATGTAAGTGGTTTGGGAGTTACAAATTTTTGTTCAACTGCACTTCAAGTTGTACGGTTTTCTATAAATTTATCTTCTTATCTGGTATATCTGTTGGAAAATAATTATAAAAAAATTTCATTGATCTCCAACTGTTTAAATTAAGCTGAAATTAAATATGAGAAGCCAACTGACAAAACAATGTCAATTACAAAATGGCTTTAAGTGTTCCTAATAAAACCTGAGAGAAAATGATTAAAAAGATAAAAATAAATCTGCATAACATATTTATGAAAAAATAATATGTGATGACATTTATTTGCTGTAAGCAATACAATCATCATATTTTAATTCATGATTCAATTTTATTCATCACATATTATTTTTTCATAAATATGTTATGCAGATTTATTTTTATCTTTTTAATCATTTTCTCTCGGGTTTTATTAGGAACACTTAAAGCCATTTTGTAAATGTTATTTAATTGCTGCAATTTTTATTTTTTTTAGTTGTTTATAATAATCAATCAAACGTAAAATCAAAAATAAAAATTAATAATGTTATTGAAAATAACTACAGACACATTGTATAGCTTATACACATGTTGGCTCATAGCAAGTTAAAATTTAAAAAGTTAACTTGCAAAACTAGTCTGAGACGGACAAAATTAAGGACTAGCAATCGTTACAACAAAAGTTTAAAAAACTGTACAGCATAATGGTAAAGAAAGTAGACATATTAAGCTGATTTTGCACCGATGCATAAAAACCTTCTTCTGTCTGTGAGAGAAATTTAGCGAAACTATGAGGCACTTTACTAATATCAGCCAAATACTTTAATACTGATCGAATTCTGATTACCCCAATTACATATTTCGGTGTTTATGCGTGGGATTTTATAATTAGTTAGGAAATTCAATTTAACGTCCCAAATGATAGATTAGTATTATAGAACACTGCAAATCTCACATTCCAACTTTGAATGTTTTATTTGTATTTATGTACTCTACTATGTATATTTGTTATCAAAGCAAATAAAATATTTGACTTGTTCGTTTGATGGTATATTAAGCCGCATTTTGAATGCTTTATTGAACCTTCATTAATACAATAAAAATATGAGAAGAGAACGCAAAGCAAATTACCAAATACTAACTAAAATTAAAAAATTTTAATGCCGATCTAAAACTAAATATATATCTGGCTTAAAGCGAATTATTAGACCTGGTATTCTTTCTGCGATATATTTATAATAATATTGAAATAATTATTGAAAATGCAGAAAAAAGTAAATAATAGGGAGAATTTACGAATATTAAAATTAATTGATATTTTCCCTGATACTACGTTCTTGTCTAGCTGTCAGCTAGTTTTTGAGTTGCATTTGAGCCAATTTTATTGTGTTTTTGCATCTGATTTCAGGTTGCTGTGCGTTTTTACTTTGACTCATAAATTTCTTTATTGACTAATCAATTTTTATTGGAAAAATATGCGTATATGTTTGTTCTATTATTGTTTACAAAGCTGATCTCAAGCACCATTTTTTCATTTTTACAAATGTTCTTTAAAGAGAATGAAAATTGAGAATACTGCATTAGATTGCTTGGCTTTGGATAAAGCTGACAATATTTTCCGGCTTTTCGTAGCAGGTCTGCAAAATGCATACCTATTTTTTGTGTTTTCTCATATAATTCTTTCAACTTTTGCACATTTTAATTTTGTTTCGAACTTTGAATGCAAAAAAATTATTTTTGTTCTATTGTTGTTTACTTCTTTTGAAAAGCACATAGAACATTTTGCTTCGACCTTACATTTGCTTCAGTAGTCGGTTTATTTCGGTTTTACTGGCTATTTTTAGCAAAGATTTCCTGTAGCAGATTGACTTTTCGCTTAATTTTATTAAACCCAAAATTCTCCAAAGGTATCATGTAAGATTGGAAAAATCAAGAGAAAATCCATAATGTGTAACTTTCGTACTTTTTAGATTCTTTATCTCTTTTAGTTTGCTCCAAAAAAATATCAGCCGTTTTCCTTTGAAAGTTGTGCAAGTGTGTTTTCTTTTATATGGACATGTATTTAAGGTCTTTAAGGCATTTCAATAATTTAAAAAATATAGATACATGTTATTACACTCATTTTATATTGTTTAAATATTAAATTGATTTAACTTTATAACGTAACTATTTTAAAATTGCGACTAACAAAACTTATAATTTTAATAATTTCAATGTCAGCAGAAAGCAAAAATCTTACATTTACAACATATTAACATCCGGATCTCAATTGAAACAAGTCAATTTTGTTTTATAAATGCTTTATTAAATATTTAGTTGGACAAAAAAAATTAAAAATTACAAAATAAATAGGCTTTATTATATGAGAAAACGTTACTTACAAAAACGAAATGAATTTATCTCTTTTTGAAATCGAGAAAACCGCCTTTTGAAGTGAATAAGTCGAACTTCGACATTTAATTCGACTTATTCACTATAGAGAGCGTTTCGTACGATAATTAGTTTTACTTATTCGCTATAGAGAGCACCTTTGTGAAATTTAGTTCGACTTATTCATTACAGAGGGCGCTTCTTACGAACTAAAATCGACAAAAAGCTCTCTCTTCAGCGCACAGGTAGAACTTAAATGTACAAAATCGGCCTCTGAAGTCAGTAAACCGAACTAAAATCGAGAAAGGTGTTTTTTGAAGTGAATCAGAAAAAGATCTTCGACTTTTACTTCTACCTCTGTAGAGGCACTATAGAGGGTGCTCTTGTGAAATTTACTTCGACTTATTTACTACAGAGCGCGCTTCTTTCACTACACAGGGTTCAACAATCGCCGTTAACTGTTTCCTTAAGCGACATATTAGAGGCATTCCAAATTAAATATATACACTTTAATATTTGTATTATTTATTACATTTATAATTTTTTTTCTAGAAGAGCAGGTTCTATAAATTTAATTTAAATGATATTTATCGTTTTTTATTTTAAAAATTCTTATTTACAAAAATTCCAAAATATTACCTCGCAGATTAAATCACAAATCCCCAGAGCAAATCACAGTCTTCCGAAAGGATTTAATTCATTGGAATTAACAACTGGACAATTGTGAAAGTATGTTATTTTTTTAAAATTCGGGTTTACGTGTTGAGAACAATCTTCAACTTATGTTTTGCAGTAAAAGACAATTTTGTAATAATGATTTGATAATTATTACAAATTATTACAAAAAAATTTTTTGTATTATAATTAATTCATATTTAAAATTAATTTAGACTAAAACATTTAATGAATAAATATAACTCCTTAAATTTCTCTATCTCACTTCCATGTAATTAGAAAACGGTGTTCAGCCTTTAAACCAAAGTTGTGCAGAATTTCTGGAGCAACTAAACGTTACTTTTAGCCACGATAATTCAGTAAATTTTTAGTAGTGGCCGCGATCGTTGCTCATAAAAAGTGTTGATGACCTGAATATTTTTTTACGTTGAAATTCGAGTATCGGGTCTCGTAAAGCTCTAATCTCTTTAATAAATGAGTTATAACTCGTTAACTCAAAAAGCGGCAATAACTCAAAAGCGCAACTCAACACAGTGTTACCCAGGCCTCAATGTTTATGTCATTTACAATTTTTACCTTTGGAAAGGGTTTATAAATAAAAAGTTGATAGTGAATTGTATTCATTTTAATCACTACCAATTTTGTTTTTGTCAAAATGGACTAACACCACTTTCAAAGAAACCGGCTCATGTTATCAAATCTAGAAACTACGATCGTCTACACTTTACAGAGCTTTTAATATGAAAAAATGACGATCATAATCCGCTATCGTTTAAAGATTCAATTGATTTCTCATATTCTCCTTCCCAAGTCTTATACTTATCATCTCTTGCTGTTTTTGAAACTAGTTGAGGACATTTTCCACTTCCATAAGCAGTTACTTCTGTTGAATCTTCAGTATATTCCCCAAATTTAATTTTTTTTTCGTGAAGCTTGCCTGTCTATTTCACCGGCCTGACTTAAACACACCTTCCTTGCATGTTTCTTCAAAGGATTAAAGCCGAAACACTGAATCAATTTTGTATGTTTATATATTTATAAGCAACAAATCATCTATATACATGGTTATTCGCTGAACAGAAGCCCATAGGCACCAAATGCCAAGGCAATATCAGCTTGAGCCCAGAACCTGTGGTATTTAAAGGTGGGCACTGCACCCCCGTTAAGATAAGTTTCCACCTTGGACCAGTTGGGGTCGTTCTTGTACCAGGAACGGATTCCAAGGAAAGTGGCTGAAGAGTCGATGACATCTCCGTTGGGGTAGGTTCCAGTCCATCCAGATGGCACGTAGACTTTCTCGTTGAAACGGTTGTAGTCGTCACGCTCTTCTTCTACTGAGAAACCAATATCGTCCTTATAGGTAGTGTAGATGGCATCCAGAAGTTTCTTGGCAGTGGACTTGGCAGTGGAGTCTCCAGACTTGGCAGCATAGTAGGCCAAAGTACGGGCAGTAGCGGCAGCCGCTCCTAAAGGGGAATTGCCATTAGAACCAAGAGAAACTAGAGCAAGAATCATAAATACCCAAATCTCTGGCGTAGGAAGTAACGGTGACCTGCACGTTTGGCGGGTCTCCAGACCAACCGAGGTTGCTGGGGATCTGGAAATCGTCTCCACTAAACTGGATAACTCCATCAACCCAGTCGGCCCATTTCTTCAGAATTGATTGGGCTTTGGAGTCTCCGGTCGCGTAGTAGTATTGTGCAAGACGATCAGCTGACCAAGGTTGCATACCGTACCATCTGTTGGATGGAGGATCGTGATAAACCTAAGCAATATAAAACCATCAGTCAGTGAACCCAAAGAAAGCTATCCAAAGCACTAACAGGTTCCCAGTCGTAGAACATTCCGTAGAAAGTGTCGTTGAGCAAGTCGGAGTCAGGTTCCGCATATCGCCCCTTCCAAGAGTTGGTAACACCGCCCGCAAATGGTCCAGTATCAGTCTGCAAGTACTCATACAGCTCGAGCTGCCTCTGAAGAGATTTAGTCCAGTCGTCAACAGCGGTTGATCCCTTTGGTTTCAACGAGGCATCATTAGCCAAAGCGTAGGCAGCAAGAGGGTTTTGGTAGCCAAAGTGAGAAGCACCATCTCCAATACGCCAAGACCATTCGTATTGAGCGTTGTAGGAACCTCCCCAGGCAAAGTACCAACTGATCAGGTAGTGAGCACTGTCTTTTCCAGAAGCAGCGGCACATCCACTCGCTGGATAGCAGTTTCCAATTTTCTTGAAGTATTTGTCAAAGAGGGAGTATCTAGCAAAAACACCCTCAGTAGTAATTGGATTAGGGCGTGAGGGACTTTGTTGCTACCTGAGGTAGTCGCCCATTTTCGCAGCCTTGGTCAATGTTTGGGAGATGGAACCCTGCGAGCCCTTCTCTGTAGCCCATACGTTGGCCCAGTAAGCTGCTTGGACTGCTCTGGCATCAGCATCAGGAGCAGCAGTGTATTTGTACTGATGAGAATAGTCAGAGTCCTGCACGAAAAGGTCCAAGAACCCGTTGGTGCCTCCATATCTGCAACCCCAACTGTCACCACAACTCTACTGTAATTGGGAAAGCTACGCACTTAAATTGATCGCAAGTAGGCTGGGGAATGGTTCTCCAAACGGACTCTTGAGGTCCACGTTGGTAGTTGTTGTAAAGAGAGGGTCCAGAGGCTGAACTCCCAGCTTCACATTGCCCTTGAACATTTCCGAACCCATAGACATTATCCACGTCCAACAGCCAGTGCATGGAGTAGAAATCCGAGGTGCCGTAGGCGCTCTTCAACTCATCAGCCAAAGGATCTTGACCTGAATTTAATCAAGGGTGAGACCCTTCCAAACTGTTTTTTTCCCTTCCAAACTGCACTTGCCTACTGGGATGCTGGAGTCGATAGCCGAAGGGTATTCGCTGGGGTCATCCATCTCAGCAATATAAGTTGCTGGCTTGGAAGCATCGTATTCAGAATTGGCATTTTGGAGAGTTGGGATGGTATACTTCTCCATACTTTCCCAAGCAGAGTTGAAAGACGAGAAGTCGCCTTCTATGGCTCCATACATAGCCTCCAGCCACACGTAGTAGCTAGTGGATTCAAGCATTTTAATACTGGCCTCTTTGAACGCTTAAGACCTCACCTGTAGGCCTCAGAAGTGGTTTCATGACCCTGGTCCGGAGCCTCAACAATCAAAGTTTCGACACTGTGATACGGAACACCGTCGCTGGAAAAGTACCCACTACTAGAGCTCTTAATCTTCTTATATTGCTCCAAAAACCTATCGGTGTAGGTGCCGGCATTGACGCCGGCCACCAAAGCCATGGCGAATATTGCCAAGACCTTCATATTGGATCCTAACAAGTAAAGTGAAAATGTTAAAAAAATTCTACGCAAAAAAATCTTGAAAAAATTCAAACAAAGCTACTGATATAATTCAATGTCTTCGCTTCTAAATACCTGAATCACTGATCTCCAGAAGCCAACTGATGCCATCCCTTGACCGATTTGTCGTATTTATATTCAGTCGCAACAATGTAATCAGCAGTTTTTGTTGAAAAGGGTTTTTAACGATCAAAATAAAGTAATCTAGTAACTAATAATATTTTTCACATATGAGACTTGCAATGTACACTGAGAGAAATTTTTCTTCATCAATTGGAGTCGGAAAACCGCAAATTTTGGTAGTTAACACTTAGTGGGGGTTAAAGTGGAATAATTGGGCTTATGTAAAAACAATCTAGGAGGAAACAATTGGATAATAAGCCGTGGTTCAATAAGCTTCAATTTTACTCTTTGTCTCTAAACGGACCAGGCAAATTATCTGATTCAGTAGTTTTGCGTTCTTAAGAATCATTTAGACTTCCAACAATGTAGTTGTATTTTAACTGGTGTAGAGTGAAAGAACGTAAAGTGGTGGAAAACTAAATCCTAAATGCTTCACTAATTCCATTCATCAACCAATCATTTAATTTTCATTCTTATTATTATTCGAAGAAGCTTTTTCAATCTTTTCTTATTAATATTAAAAGCCAAAAGAGCATCTTCGCCTAGGCCATGTGAGCTGATTTCTCAGCGTACATGATTTTTTTGCAAAAACACTTCAACACAAGTACTTGTTTGCAGCAAAAAGTAAATAGATAATTCAAAAGGATTAAGTGCAGATGGGAAGCAGCACAATGGCTTGTTTTGACCACTTGATTGTAATCAATTATATACAGTGTCCGTGTTGACAATTTTTTAAGTTTTCATTTGGTTTAGGTTTTCTTATGAAAAATGCAATAAATAAAGTTCCTATCAAACAAATATTTTGAACGAAGTGTAAACAAACAGTTTAGGAATAAGTTTATAATCAAAATTAAAATATATTTTTAAACGTTTTGTCGTTTTTTGAACACTGTATAAAGAAGCTGATAAGTTTGAAGGATCTGTTACGAAAAAATGGAGTTTATACTTTATTTTTCCAACAGTCCATTTTAGGCAGTGGTCGACTGTAAATCCTTAAATAGTATTCGTGATTTCCCAAGAAACTGGCAGTGAATCTGGAAAACTTAAGAAAAATTGTAGCTGTTTGATTGGCTGATTTAATTGAAAAGGCGTGCTATTATAAAGGCAAAATAGTTTTATCTAATAATCGCTTTATTTGTCGTGTAAATTTATTGCAAAATTTGTTTAAATTCTAATAAAAATAGATCAGATCTGAGTGCTTAAGCAACCACCGCTCGCCAAAAGAAGAAGGCGCATTTTCTTCCGGAAAAATCGCCTGCTTTCAGGCTAATTCACAATGTTAAAATTATTATTAAATATAATTTAAGAGCTTTTATTAAAGATTGATGATTTTTTATTAGAATGTATTTCACGCAAGTTTTCAAGAGCTTTAAACATCCAGTGAAGTGCATGTCTTTTTCGCATTAATTTCGCACTTATTCAATGCTTAATTTGCAATTATTCGTCGTTTTTAGAGAAAACATAAATTTCAAGAACTGTGATCACTTATCACCCTTCACGTCTAAGGTCTTCTATTTTCGTTCTAGTTTCAGCTGCCCACCGTCTTCAGATCATTTCCAGGAAAATATATTTATTTCTGTCATAAAATGTTCTTTATATAGGAGAAAAATTTCAAAAACTAATTTGTCAAAAACGGAAAAAGAAACTGATTTTGCTTTCTGGCAGGGAATAAAGCGCAACGTTTCGTTAGGCGGCGCTCTTCGGGGAATTTGCCATAAAAGCTCAAGCCTTGGAGAGAATCACTGTCGCCACAATCGTGTCAACTAAAATTTAAAAAATCAATTTCTCGAAAAACTAAAAAATATAGAGATTAGGACGTTTCAATATTGGATAGAGTGCAATCGGCTTTATAGACCAAGGAACTTTCAGCTGTCTTCCGTCTTCAGAGCATTTCCAGTGGAATATTATTGCTTCTATCATAAAGTTATCTTTATATAGCAGCAAAATTTCAAAAATAAATTTCTCAAAAACGGAAGATGAAACTGATTTGTGTTTTCTGGCAGTAGATGGAGCGCAACTTTTTTCGTATATTGGGAAAGTTTCGTAGGGCGGTCCTCTTCAGGGAATTTGCAATAAACGCTCAAGTCTTAGAGAGAATCACTGTCACCATAATCGGGGCATCTAAAATTTAAAGACGAATTTATCGAAAAACTAAAAAGATACAGATTATCCCGTTTCTATCTTAGATAGAGCGCGAACAAAAAAAAATAGACTAGGACAGTTGCAGCTGTCTACCATCTTCAGAGCATTTAAAGTAAAATATTATTTTTTCTATCATAAAATTCTCTTTATATAGCAGCAAAATTTCAAAAATGTATTTCTCAAAACAGAAGATGAAACTGATTTGTGTGTTCTGGCAGTGAATAGAGCGCAACTTTTTGCATAGATTGGGAAAGTTTCGTCGGGCGGCCGTCTTTAGGGAATTTGAAATAAAACCTCAAGTCTTGGAGAGAATCACTGTCGCCACAATCGTGTCAACTAAAATTTAAAAAATCGATTTCTGGAGAAACTAAAAAATATAGAGATTAGGGCGTTTCTATGTTGGATAGAGCGCAATCGGCTTTATGGACCAGGACATTTTCAGCTGTCTACCATCTTCAGACCATTCCAGGAATTATTTCTATGAATCCTCCTTATATAGGAAAAAAATTTCAAAAATTCATGTCTCAAAAACCTAAGAAGCAAATTATTTGCATTTTTTGCAGGGAATAGAGCTCAACTGTTTTATACACTGGGAAAGTTTCAGCTGTCGACCATCGTCAGGCAATTGGTAATAAAATCTTAAACCTTGGATAAAATCACTCTCGCCCCAGGGTCTAAACTAACATTAAAAAATCAATTTTTATAAAACGAAAAAAGACACAAATGGCGCTCTGCACTGTTTAAAAAAGAACAATTGTCCTTGCACTCCAGGAAAGTTTCAGCACTCGGCCATGTTCAGGGAATTTGATAAGTAATGCCAACTTTAAGTCATTTCGTTTAAGGATGCAACCAAAATTGGCCTAAAAAAATCAAAAAAGGCACAAATTAGGGCTTTTCATTGCCTATTAGTTTTAGCTGTTAATTCACGCAAACAATTCCAGAAAATTGCCCTTCTGGCTATTGCAGAAACGCAAAAACAACCTGATTCAGTGGTTTCAGTAGCTCAATTTACAATATTGCTAAAAATAGTATTTAGTACTACTTGTTTTATCTTCACACTATTTTCTATTCGAGTGGCAATAAAAACATTACGTTTTCTACAACGCACAGACCTTTACGGACATTCAATTGAAAAAACATTCGCTTTTTTTGGCTTGATTTACTTGGCTTAACAGTCTTTTGTAATGACAATTGTTTCATTTTTAAACATTTGCTTTCCGGAGTCAGAAATAAAGGAATGATGGCTGTTTATTAAAGCTTTCAAGAGGCAAAAATCGAACGCTGTTTTTATTTTATTTGTCTGCTTCCAGCTTAATTTACGATGCTAGAAAGCCTATTAAAACGTTTATGTTTAAGGAAAATGTTAAACATCGGCAGTAAAATTCGAGAAAATACTTAATTTTTAAATATTGCATTAATCAGAATAAAAATAAGTATGTTAAATCGTCATTCTTTTATGAATCCGTACATCAAATGCTCAATACCAAATTCGAGTCTAATTTGCCATTATAGAAGTTTAATTGCCATTTAGTAGTCATCTTAAGAGACAAGCGAGACAGTTTAGAAAAGCCTTAGATCCTGATTCAATACGAATATACTCGCTTTATTTACGGGACTTTTAAGGCATTTTAATGATCTTTCCTTCACCTTCCAGCGCTGCCTTTATACAAACGAAAACAGGCATGTGTTAATTGTTTTTAAAAGCTATTGAATAGCAGATGGCTCAAAACTAAGAAAAACTCATTTTCCATTCTATTTTTCAAGCCGCATTTTTATAATGGTCACATTGGTTTGGTATGAAGCAATTAAAAATGCGTTTGTTTGAGATTCTTTTTTCTCGACTTATTGCCGCATCAATCTTTGCACTTCTTGTGAGGTATTACTACAAAAACGAGAGGGAATGTTCAAGTAAAAATCAATTAAAATTTTGTTAAAAGAGTCGTTTCTTAAGCACAAGAGCATAGTTTTTCATTAAAAAACAGTAATAGCAAAAATTCATATTTCTTATTCACATTTAAATGTTAATGATGAAGATTAAAAATGATTTACAATAATTTAAATGAAACTAAAGCCTAGAGCAGCGCTGTAATTAGAAAAGATATATTTAGAAAGAAAAGAAACATCTTTCATACAAAAATTTCCAATTGCTCCCGTATTTTTTCATTGTCAAACCGTTTATTTCACGGATATTGTTTTTTCATCCATTAAATTAAAAAAACTAGCTCTTAATCAGTGTCTTTGTTCAATATACATTTTACATCGTCATAATTTCACTGTTTTACATAATATTTTAGTGTCATTGTCTATTCCTTTTCGCTTGTTTGAAAAAGTTTCTTTCCTTGGCCTTCATGTATCTATTTTTTTTCTATTATGTCTACTATATATATTATATTGGCGATAGTGCATTCACATTCAATGCAACATTTAATCAAGTTTGAAGATTTTCATTACAAAAATCCTTCGCATTCTAAAGTGCGAATATTCAATATAAAATGGCAATAGAGAAAAAAAAGGTAAAGTTGATAAAAATCAAAAAACTTTATTATTTTCTCTAGGTAGGTACTATTTCGACTTATTCATTGCAGTACCATTCTAACACATAAAATAATGATAAATATCACATTTTCCGCATAGAAACAAAAGTCACCAGAAAACATGTTTACTTTCAAGGTACCATCGGCTGTTGTTCAATGTACAAATGTTTGTTCAAAACACTTCAACTGAAGTATGCATTTATTTTATTTGTCACACATTTAATTTATTTGTGGGAGGAAAAATCGATTAACTGGAGTCATTTCACGATGAGAAAAACAATTAAATCACATCGCTTAATTATTTCATTAATCACTGGTTTTATCATCAAACATTCTGTTTTTAAGAAAATGTTAAT